TGGTGGCCAGGTGGCGACTGTTTCCCGTGACACACTGACAGCGGGCTGATAGTCAGGAAAATCAGATGCAGTCTGGACTTTCCCATGACCTGATCCTTTAAAAATGTTCGCAGTGGCCCTGTCCGAGGGCTGGGAGGACACCCTCTGCTCTGCCCCACCCTGGACAGCCCCACGGGTGTGCTGGCCCTATTTTTCTCCATGAAGATCATCAACAGCAATGTGCTTACCTAGTTTACTCATTCACTTCTCTATGCTTTTCAAAAATTATTTATTTATTATTATTTTAAAATTTGACCAGAGAAAGACAAGCAAATTTCCAGCTCTAGGACTTGAACTGCGGTCTGCCATGTGAGAGTGCAGCACCCCAACCACCACCATCTGCCAGCCCCCCTTCCCTATTCTTTGTACCACCCACACCACAGGGGAGGCCAGTGGTGGGGATTTCAGCCGGCTTTGTTTGCTGAGGTACCCCTGGGCTGAGGCCAGCCTGGCACAGGGAAGGCAGACTGATGGGCCCAGGGCCCCGAATCCCTGGACCCAACTAGGGGCTCTAAGGTTGGAGTCCCAGACTCTAGGAACCTCCAGCTATCACTTCATCATCCCCAAAGTTTTTCGGTTCTTTCCTTAAGAGAATTGATGTGGGAATAATGCCCCCTTCCTCCAGAACCCTAATGGTGTTCCTGCAAACGACCGACTTCTTGTAGCTGAGCGGCCCCAGGCTCCTGTCTGTTGTGAGCTGCAGAGCTGGGGCTGCGGCCTCCCGAGCCCCGGCTGTGCCCCGCGGACGTGCCTTTCCGGTGCCTCCAGCCACCTGCTCAGCGGACGCTCTGTCGGCCAGTTGGAACCGCAGGGCGAGGTCGGCGGTCCTGCCGTGCTCTCCCGCAGAGCTCGGCATTTGAATCGTCAACTCCCTGGGAATTTGCTTCTCTTCAAAACCGAGGAATCTGGCCTGCGTGGCGGCGGGTCTGGGGCGGCCAGGCCTGCGCGGCCCGAACCGCCCGACCCCCGCTGTCCGGCGCTCGGCGCCGACGCGGACCGGCGGCGCAGACCAGCCGAGGCAGCTGTT